CGTAGCGTGGGCAACCAGTCTCCTTCATGAGAGGACCTCCTCCCGCAGTCATGGCTCGGGAGTAGAGAATGTCTAGTTGGCAGCTCTTAAGACATGAATTGGCAGGCGGCAGACCAAGCCTGACTGGGAGACAGCGAGATGGAGGGAGGGATCGCAGGTGCAGAGCTTCTCACGCCACTCCGCCATTTCTCACCATTACCCGTGGGGGTGGGGGGGAGGGCAGAGGGAGTACTATCCAGAGAGACCATACATCAGGCTGCTGCCTTCCTCCTTTGTCCCGATGTCTCCCTCCTCCTCCTCCTCGTTTGCGGGCCCTGGGTATTTTGTAAGCTTCACTGTTCACCAGGTGGGCTCCCCTCCCTGGCCTCTGCCATGTCCGGCATTATCGGTGAGCCGGCCACTGCCCAGGATCACACAATTCTTAACAACCCAGGGAAGGGTGAAAGGCCGGGAGGCTATCATTGGGTGGCCTTGTGGAGTCGATAAGAAACACTCATCATGATCTCATCTGGGAGCAGCTAGGAGTTCAGACCCACTCACCTGCGCTGTGAGCCCAAATTCCACAAAGCCCCCCCACTCCCCCACCCCCCTACTCTCTCAACCTTCCCTGGGCAGCACCTCCCCTCCCCTCCCCCTCTCCACCTCCTGGAGTGGGTGGGTGAGTGGGGGCCGCGGGAGCAAATTAGGGCAGCGAGTCTTCCCTATTTGTAAGTACCGGGTGGTGTGTTTAAACCACTGTCAGCCCCTGGGTGGGCCCAGAACCTGCTTGTCCCCTCCAGCCTCTCTCACCTGGGCCTTGGGAGCCTAGGGAGAGCTCTGGGTTATGTCAAGGGCAGGACAGGGCGGGAATCACTTAGGGAAATATTGCTTGAGTCTTGAGACAACCCTACTCCACACTCGCCCCCATTTTAGCTTTTCAAGGTCTCAGTGAGGGCCCCCTGGCCCCGGTGCCGTTTCTTACAGGGGCTGGGCCTGAGAGAGACCCACCCCTTTCCAAGGCCGGGGCCTGTCAGTGAGTGCCCCCCCCCCTCCCCCGCAGGTGAAGGAAGACTGGAAGTACGTGGCCATGGTCATTGACAGGATCTTCCTCTGGCTGTTCGTCATCGTCTGCATCCTGGGGACCGTGGGACTCTTTCTCCCCCCGCTCCTGGCTGGAATGATCTGACTTCACATCCCTGGCTTCCGCCCGAAGGTGGCCCTGCTGCCGTGTTTTGCTGCTGCCTCTAGAGTCCGCCTTTGGGGTCCACACCCCGTGACTGCCGGTGCCTCTCCGTGGCGTCCCGACGCTGGCCCCACCATCGAAGACTTCCTGGCCCCACTCACCTGGCAGATGCACTCTGTGCTGAGAAGCTCCTGGGCCCAGAGCCCCGTTGGGATGCGGAGGGGCAGGAATGGAGGCGGCTGCTCTGCAGAAGGTGATGCCGAGGTGCTGACCATGTGAAGCGCAGGAGAGTCCCCGAAGGAGCTCTACAGACACTGAGTGTCAGGAGGGCCGAGCAGGGGGAGCCGATGGCAGGGGTGGGGGTGGGGCCAGGTGAGAGGAACAGAACACAGACCTCAAAGGAGGCGTCATTGGGAAGAGGGGGAGAAGGTGCCACGGGGGGCACACGGGCTGTGAGCAGCGTTTTGGATTCTGCAATGAGCCTGAAGTGTCAGGGCAGCCGGGCTGAGGTTGGTTCCAGTGTGGGGAGAGTGGCTGGCGGTTGGGAAGGTGGGTTGGGGTGTCTGAACCAGGTAGAGAAAAGGGGTTCAGAGTCTGAGACCGCAGATCTGACAGTAGAGGCGAAGGCTTTCCGGAAGGGAGGAGGGAGGCAGGGCAGGGGAGTGGAAATGCAGGGCGACCCTCTGCAGAGGGAGGAGGGTGCATGGTTGGATGCGGGTACTGGGCCAGCCCACCCAGCTCCGGTGAGCCCTGAGACATGCCCTCGCCTTTAGCCTTCCCCTCCACCCCATCCCCCCAAAACCGGCTCAGCACCAGCTGCCCCAGGAGGTTGAGAGTCCCTGTGTACAGGGGCACCATCTGCCTTTCAACTCGAGTGGACAAACCACAAGGCCATCCCGAGCCACTTTCCAGCCACATCAAGCCTACAGCTCGCTCCCTCCCTCCATCCACAGGCAAGCGGTGGTTGGTCAGCACTGAGAAGGGGCTGAGGGGAGTGAGTGGGTTACTTCGAACCCGAGACTGCTGTGTAAATGCAAACACGCAGGACCAGGACCCCTTCCCTGCCTAGCATGCCCTCCCCGTCCTTCCCAAAGCCCCACGGTGTGTCTGACCGGCTCTGAGCTGCCCTGTGCTGTCTGTTCTCGAACTTGGAATCCAGCAGTCCATGGCCCTGGCTGCAGCGGTCAGGCCCCACCTCTGCCCCATCCAGACCCACTTCCCCAGCAGCCAAAAGATGTGGGCACTGGGTTCTTGGGTCGGTGTGGGGACCCCAGGCGGAGAGCCGAGCAGAGGGAGCCTCCACTTTCCCTTCGGCCTTTGGGGTCCTCTCCTTCCAAAGTCCCCCCTCGCCTTCCCCTGACAGACCACGTGGGAACCCAAGACACCTCGGGCCCAGCCTCTGCCCCTCAGTTCTCTCCCAAGACCCCCACTCGGTGGCCCATTCTGATTTCTGACATCCCCCCTCCCCCCGCTTCAATGCACACAGCCCCGCCTCCCCTCCCTCCTGGCTCTCCCCAGCCTGGATCTCCTGGTGCCGTGATGTTCCCTTACGTTAGTCTGTCTCCCATCCATCTTGCATGTGAATAAAGCGATCAAATAAAATGAAAGCCCCTGTTCATTGAGCTGTGGGACCCCATGTCAGCATCTGTGGGACCCCGTGTCAGCATCCCCAGGACCCCCAGAACCTCCCCCAGAGCCCTGGTTGTGGGGATGCCTGCTGCGAGAGTGCCATTCCTCACGTGCCTGTGTGGGGGCTGCCCTGGGTCCCCCCTGGGAAATGTCCCTTTGGTCAGGGGCTGGGGCTCATGTCTGACCCCCTGCCTGGGTGTCACCGGGCGCCCCTCGGTTGAGCCCAGGCATCAGCCCTTGATCTCTGCCCAACTGAGCACAATCCATGTCTTCGAGGGAGGGCTGTGGTTTGAGGTCTGTGTTTCCCCACTGAGAGCAGGTCAAACCAACAAAGCAATCAAACCACAAAGCAAATAGTACAGTTTAATTCATCCACAAGTCAAATAGAAAGAACGTAAAGGGTGTTCTGCACAAACACGAGGGAGGAGACGGGAGGAAGCTGGTGAGGAAGAGGAAAGAGAGGGAGGAATAAGAAAAGAGGAAGGAAGGAGGAGGAGGCAAAATAAGGAAAGAAAGAGAAAAGTGGGCGTGAGGAAGAGAGTGGATTGTGGTCCGAGTCCTGTTTGGCTCCACTCCCCTTCTCCTCGACACTTGGCGTGTTGGCCACACAGCGTCCTGTGCCCAGCCTCCCACTAGCTTGTTGCTGGACTGTGTCCCAGGCCCCCCCTCCGGGGGTGCATGGCTGTCCGTCCAGACCAGACTCACATTAAATAAATTCCAATATACACTGTACAAGAAAGCCAGGTCCATCCCTCATCTCACCGACCATCCACTCGGCCAAAGAAAGCCCCTCTCGGGCCCCTCTGCATCGGGGGGGGACTTCCGTGGGCAGAAGAGGAAGCAGGAATAGCTTGGTTTCCCACATGGCCTGCTATGTCCATGCATAAAGCCATCATGGCCACTAGGGGCATCCGTGGGACCCCCAGCAGGCCCGGCAGGTAGGAGAAGGGAGTGGCCAGTGGCAGCTGTGCTCCCTCTGAGCCCTCGTGGTCACCCCCTGGCTTCTACAGCCCTGAGTCCCCTCTGTCCAGCTGCAGCCTGAGCAGCACAGTCTGGGTGTCGGGTGGGGAGAGGGGGTCGTGCAAAGTGGCAAGGGAAGGACTCCTCTCAGCCTTCCCCCTGAGAAGACCCATGTGGCCGAAGGCAGGGCAGGGCCGGGGGCAAGGGAGGTACACGACAGGCGGGGCGAAGACGCAGGCGGGCGGCCCACCCTCCGTCACTCTGCAGGCGGGTGAGCCAGGTTGGCCAGAATCTTGGCCTGGTCCACGGCATCGAGCAGGTTCTTGGCGTCCACGGCCAGGGTGTGGGAGGCCGTGAGCATCTGCCGCTTGCACTCCTCACTCAGGGAGGTCACGGCGTTTTGCTGGGCCAGTCGCATCTTATTGATGAGCTCCGCCAGGTCCTTGTTGAGCAGTTTCTGGGTCCCTTCAATCTGTGGGAGGATTGCACAGGAGAGGCTGGGAGCCTAAGCCACGCACGTGTGCACCTGGGTGTTGCCAGCTGCCCCCCCAAGGCCTACGTGATGGTGGTGAAGGTGAGTGCCAGGGGCAGAACTGGGACCAGGACGGTGGAGGCTGCTCAACCAAGTCAGACCCAGGCTGGGGCCGAGCAAGGCCCTGTACGGCCGGAGCCAGTCGCCAAGGACTGACATTGTAGACACCCTAGACCCCAGCCCACCCCATGCCAGCCCCGTCTGATCCAACCCCACAGGCCCTCCTCTTATCACAGCATCCTCTTGTGCTGGCCCAACGTTCGAGCCGATGGTTGAGGTCAAGTGCATTCATCCATTTGTGAGCTGCCTGTCATCAAATCAAGAGCTCTGGGCCTGTGGATGGAGCTGTAGCATTTGTTTACGGACAAGTGCCCGGTGCTTAGCACAGTTCTGAGCACAAGCTCGGCACTCAAGTGTTTATCGGGTGAGATGAGTGACTGGGTCATCATGCCCAGGGCAAGATGCTCTCCTGTCAGACTGCACAGCCTGGCCCACTCCTCTGTGGGTTGCTGCTGCCACCCAGAGGGAGGCTGGGAACCCCCCGCCCCCACCGTGCTGTCTTGAGCAGCACAGACTGGGGGCTCCGGTGGTCACCTGTGCCACGTCACTGACCACAGGGAGAGGCCACATCAAACCGCAGCCCAGCAGGGGCCGTGGGCTTCCTCAGGGTCTACATCTGGTTTCCAGGCAGACACATGTCAGAGCACTGACTGCGCTTCCTATGGCTGCGGTGATGGAGTACCGCAACCCTGGTGGCTTAAAGCAACACAGACTAGACTATCCTCCACCGTTCCGGAGGCGGGAGTCTGGACCAGGTCCTACGGGGCTAAAGCCGAGGTGCCCGGGCCGCGGGCCGCGCTCCTGCAGGCTCCGGGGAGACTCTGCCCCTGCCTGTCCCGCTTGGCCTGTGCCTCCTTCCAGCCAAATTTGAAATCACTTCCACCTCTGCTTCTGTCGTCACCCCTCCTTCCCTGGCTCTCACAAGAAACTCTGCGCCCGCCTCCCTCATAAACGGACCCTGTGACTACGTTGTAATCAGTGCAATCGCCCCCACCTCAAGGTCCTTAACTTATCTCATCTGCGAAGTCCCTTTGCCATGGAAGGAAACCGAGTCCCGGGGCTCTGGGGGACCAGGACAGGGGAGCGATTTGAGGAGCCATTATTCTGCCCACACAGGCCCCATCTCCACGCAGAGAACCAAGCCTCCTATGTCAGTTTTCCATGATTGTTTCTCACTTAAATAGAGAAAATTAGATTCAATGGCCAACAAAAGCACCCTTCACTGCTATTTCCATAACACGCTCACCTTCACTCTAGTAGGGAGGGGACTAGATCAAGGACCGCAGGAAGGGCAAAAGGGAAGGTGTGTCCTCCTTCGTGTCCTCACACTTTAAGATGTCACTGCAGCTACCTGAGACCTAACCTGGGAAACCGGCCCTAGGAAGCCGGCCAGGGCCCCGGGTGCCCACTCAGAGACGCTGTGCAGGGCCCCGGCTGCAGGCTCGGCAGGCAGAAGTGAGGCTGCCCAGGTGGCCTGTGCGCCCCCCAGTGTGAACCACAGCTGGGGCAGGGGGAGGCGAAGGGGAGCCGGAGGCACTGTCCGAGACAAGGACACTCACCTCCGTCCGTGACGACGCCGGCAAGGAAGGCAGGATACTGTCCACGCTCCCGATCAGCTTCCGCAGGGTCAGGCCCACGTTCTGGGAGAGAAAGGGCAGGGCGTTCTGTTTGTTGAGAACACCTTGCTTCCCTTGGGAGAGCACTCCTGATCGGCAGCTGCCTTCTCAGGCTTCCTGGGACTAAGTGGGCTCTGACCACCTTGAGCTCCGCCCTCGCCCTCCCCCACACCCCACCAGGGCTGGGATGAGCAGCCTCCAAGGCCCTGGTCCCGGTTCTGCCCCTGGCGCTCACCTTCACCACCATCACGTAGGCCTCGGGGGGCAGCTGGCAGAGCTTATTCTTGAGGTCCAGCACAGCCTGCACCAGATCCATGACATTGTCGTACACCATGTCGTCGGTCCGATCCAGGTTGGCTGTGGGCTGGATGGACTGTGGGGGTGTCTCGAGTCAGGGGGACGCTACCGTTCATTCCTGGGCGGGCACTCGAGGTGCCGGCTCAGCCACCCACCCGGTTTGAGAAGACTCTTCCCCCAAATAGCAGCGCCCTGTCCTGGGGGAGCACCCCTCCCTTCTGCTTCCAGGCAGTGGTTCTCACATTAGACTCGGCCGGGAGCCTTACAGAATCCTGGTGGCCAGCTCCGCACCAGGCCAACTGAGCATCACCTGGCATGGAGGCCGGTGGGGCGGGCAGGTAGGTGGGTTCAAAAGCCCCTCGGTGATTCTAATGGACAGACACGGCTGAGAACCACTGCTCCCGAGTGAGGAAAGGCAGCGCCCAGCCCAGACTGCTGCAAGAACAGTGCGGGTGCTGAACGCCAAGGGGGCGTGGACCAGGGAGGAAGGGGCAGGACCCATGAGCTGTCCTTCAGGTTGCGGAGGAGACATGGGAGACAGGAGAGTGGTCTTGCCCTTGCTTCTTCAAGGCGCTTCCCCTCCCTGGGCCTCAGCTAGATCAGGAGGACACTGGACTAGAGTATTTCCGGGGGCCTCTGAAATCTTTGCCATCTTAAGTCTTGGGGAGCCCTGATTCAAAGTCATTACCAGCGTTGACAGAGCCAACACATACCTGTGCACCCAGCCTCGGTGGCTTCTGTGGGGGGCCCGTGAACTCCGCTGCAAAAGGAGGGAGAGTTCTCAGCACCCCAGCCCTTCCCTTTGTACCTGCGGAGAGCCAAGCCATTCCCCTCTCCTCTACCACCAGGGGATCTGGAGAAATGAAACTCTAGTTCCAGAGGATGGCCCTCCTGGAGTCCGGGACAAGTACAGTTGTCCACTTACAGAGAGAAAAAGCCACGTCGCAGCAGAGATGGCGTGACTGTGAGGGTGCGCCAGCCCCTGCGAGCCTGTGCGGCGGCCCTGAGAACAGCACACACTCTGGCCTCGACAACCACGAGGAACAAGCTTCGCTCCGTGAAGGCAGCAGGTGGCTGCGGAGTCCCCCGCCTGGTGCCACAGCAGCTAACGGGGTAGGTGTGTGCGAATTCCCCGGTGCTCCGCTTTGAGCATTTGTGGAGTCAGGGAAGTGAAACAGCAGAAGAGCCACACTCTTCATGCCCCGTGGTGAGAAGCAAAGACACGCCGAGCCCTGCGGAGCTGCTGGGAGAGCCAGCCGCCGAGCGGAAGTCACGAGACCTGGCTGTGTGACCCGGGGCGGCTCACTTACACTCTCTGGGCCTTAATTTTCATCTGTCAAATAAGGGGGTTGCTCAGAAGGGTTCTTGGAGCCAGACTGCCCGGGCTCACGTCTGAGCTGTGCTAATCACTAGGTGTGTGACTTTGGTAAGTTCCTTAACCTGCCTGTGCCTTGGTTTCGTGGCCTTTGTACAACGGGCGTAATAATAACTTGTCTTATCTCAGCGGTGCTGTGAGATGAAACAAGTTGACATCTGTCAGCGACTCTGGTCTGTTTGGATGGTATGTAGTTCTCTGTGACTGTTGTCATCGTCGTAACTGTCACTGTCGTCCTCACCACCATCAGCCCCACCCGTCTAGGATGATGAAGATGAGCCTGTCCTGCTGCTGGCTCCTCCCCCCGCCCCCACTTCAGCAGAGGCCTTTGGGGAGACCCGAGGGCTCGGCCACCCTTGTCCTCCCTTTCATCCCGCAGGCCCAGGGAAGATGAGCATCTTCGGAGAGAGCCAGTGGAACTGCCTTATTTTCCTAACGAGGAGCCTCCTACAGAATGACTGAGGGCAGGAAGAGAGAACCATCGCCTCCTCCAAATAACTGTGAGGAGATGAACTGGAAAGAGGACGAAGGACCCAGGGTCAGAGAGAGACCCACTGGGCCGGGGGGACATGGGTGACAGACGGAATGGGAGGGTGGATATCAACTCTAAGACCCAACCTCTCTGCCACTCTGAGTAAAAGCAAGGCAGACATTTCTTAAAACTGCAAGTACACTCCGCTGCTCTCTACGGGGCAACGAGCGGACGGCGGCTCAACACGAGATGTCAAGTGGGAACTCCCACCAAGAGGAAGGGCACCAATACTCACTGTAGCCGGCCTCCTTCTCTGGGGTCTGGAAGGAAGGAGAGCGAACACATCACTAACATGGCTCTGGGGACCACCCACTTCCCGCCTTGACCTGTTCTCCGCCCCCCTCCGCTGTATTTAGAGCAGCGGTTTTCAACCTGTGGGTCGTGAACAATGAAAATCCATCCTGCGTATCAGATATTTACATGACGATTCATCACAGTAGCAACATTACAGTTATGAAGTAGCAACGAAAATAATTTTATGGTTGGGGGTCACCACAACATGAGGAACTGTATGAAAGGGTCGCAGCATTAGGAAGGTTGAGAACCACTGATTTAGAGGTTTAGAGATCATAGCCATGGGCGAGGCAGGCTCCGCGGAGCTCCTGACCAAAAGTGTCCCTCCTTCCTAAGAGGCTGGGGGGCTGTGGATGTAGATCCAGTGAGAGTTCAGGAAGGGGTCCTTGTGGAGGTCAGAGGAGGGAGAAGAGACTCGCTCCCAAGGCGAGAGGCAGAAGGGAAGCGATGAGCGGGCCCCGGGCCTGGAGCTGGGACCCTGCTGCCCATGAGCACCTCCCAGGCCTTCACTCTTAAGCAGAGGCCTCTCCCGGTGACTTACCAACGGGGACTTGTCGTTCATGTGAACCATGGGGTCCTGCAGAGGAAGAAACCAAAGCAAAACACTTAGAATTCCAGAACTAGAAACCCCGGGGGTGCAGGGGGGCACTCACTCGGGTCAGCTGGGGCGGCAGAGGAGACACAAAAGGACATGATGGCGTGGACGCCTCTCCCATGCAAGCGCTGTTCCCACACTGTCTCCAGCAGCACTGCCCCCCCCACCCCCCACGGCCCGGCGGCTGCTCACCAAGGACTTCTCCTCCCGCCGCAGCCACTGGTAATCTTCCACCATCTGCTTCTGCTGCTTGTCCAGGATCTGCCGCATCTTGGCCCGCTCGGCCTCCCACAGCTGCTGGGCCTCTTCTCGGCTGCTGGGGCGGATGAAGTCCTCCTCCTGGAGAGGAGAGGACACAATGAGCCTAGTACCCAGACCCAGAGGAGGGACAGTCCTCTGATGAACCTTGTGCAGCCACAGACTTGGCCTCACCACTGCTCTTTTTTTGGTAAGGTTGCTTTTAAATTCACAGCCATATAGGCAGGCAGTTATTATTGGGTCACAGTCAGTCCCAGCCACACACATGCCTGTGTTGCAATGGAATGCCAAACCCGGAACACGCATTAACGTGCATTGTATTCAAATGATTACATGATCTGTGAAGGCAATTTTATTTTCGAATTACTGCCCTCGTGTTATTCTTCTCAGCTGGTGTTTTTCAGGGTCGCTGTCACTTAGTCAATTTAGAAGTGAAAGCCAGCCCCCTGGAAAGCCCTGGGCACTTCCCTCCACCCACGCACCCCTGAGGCAGGTCCGGAAGCTCCCAGGAGCGCTGGGCTGCCTTTAGCCCCACCGTGGGGCGGGGCCTGAGGGAAGGAGCTCCTGACCAGGCACCCATTGATCAAGTCTTTTTGTAAAAACATACTTTTTATCAAGATAATAGTTTGGATTGTTTAACCAACGGTTAAAGAAATGCATAAGCTAAGAGATAACATGAAGAACAAAATTTAAAGAAACAGAAATGTAGAGATATGCAATCCATACCTCCTAGCTGCATTAATCCAACCCTTGTTTTAACTCGTTTAGGAGACTTCGGACCTGTTCATAGTTTTACCTATTTTCCCAAAAAGAAGGTGTTGCGTGTTTTCTTTTTACTTGCTTTACTCTCAATCTTCCCCAGGGTTCATTTATATAATCATCTGCCCAGTCCCTTCAAAGTATTTAGGTGTTACTTATTGTCTGCTGCACGCCTTGCACCTGGACTCCTGAGTGCTATTGCATCAAGCCCAGGATGGCTGTGCCAGGGGCAGGACCTGCCTACGACATCCAGGCCAGCAGGCCCCTCAGCTCCTTTCCTTTGAAGGGCCCAGTTTACATACAAGTCACTTGCATAAAATGCTAAAAATCATTCTCTATCTACTTAAGCAAGCCATAATCTCTGCCAAATCTCTAAAAATATTTTCCTCACTGAACTCTCTAAAACACACTTGAATATAACAAGACAGTTAGTTATATTGGAACGTTTTTCCTGTGCTCATTCAGCTCCAATTACTGCTCTCAATTTCTAACAATATTTCTTCCCACAACTTTGATTTCTTGGTAAAATAGTCTCTGTTCATTTTTCTATTCAACAACTATTTATTAAGAAACTTCTATGTGGCAGGCATAGGGGTGGGTGCTGGGAGGGCAGCAATGGTATAATGCTAAGTAACAATAGCTAGACCATTTTTCCCAACTTCAGCACTATTGACATTTGGGCCCAGATAGTTCTTTACTAGGGGAGGACTTCCGGTATGTTGTAGGATGCCTAGCCACAACTCTACCCTGTAGCACCTCCCCAGTTGTAACAAAAATGCCCCCAGGAATCACCAACTGTGGCAAAATCAGCCTCAATTGAGAGCTACTGGGTTAGACTTTAAGAAAACAAATTTCAGAACATAAGAGCATTTTATAATCATAGAATTAATAAAAATAAATAAGATTTATTTCTCAGAGGACACTGCTCCAAAGGAGAGAATTTTAAGGTTATAAATATTCCCAGTTAAATGTTAACACCTGCAAACACAATGTATGGTTACCCAGGCTACTGACAAAGAGCGACAAGCAGGGAGACAAGTGTCAAACATTTGAATATAGTTAGGAACCCCCAGGTATAAGAAAAATGTGAGGACTGAGGATGGAATTTGTCCCTAGAGATAATACTGGTAGGAGTTAGCAGAGTCAAGTAAACACCCTGTAATCTATAAGAAAGCGCCTACCACTCTAATGTCTCACATGCCGCGGCCTGATTGGTGTCTTACAAAACATTTTAAGAGACATTCCAAGATTTGTTCCTATGTCTTCCCATTTCATAATCAAATTCAAGGAGAAAATGAGATTTTTTTAAAAATTGAATCTCTTTAGGGCTTACTTGTCTGAAATGTACCTCAGAGATTCTTTTCAGGCACTAAATACATACATTGTTGGTCACTCTTAAAAGGAATCAGGTCCTTGTGGTGTTTTAAAATGTCTCCACAGGCTGTGAACATTCCAGAATTTGCCCCCCCACCACCACCCTTATTTCTACCCCTACATGCATTCTTCCTCCAGTCTCGCCAAACAGCTCCTGCACTTCCCCTATGGTATACCATCTCTCAGTCTTGGCTCCTACTGATACCTCTGCCTCTCTCATGCCCCCTCATCCCAGTTTCTTCCTGTCCAAATCTTACCCACCCTTCCAGGCCCAGCAACACAGAGAAGCTTCACAGAGCCGTTCTCCTCTCTGAACTCTCACTGCACCTTTTGCTGTGTCTCTGTGTGCCACTCACAGCTCTCTGGCTGGCAGTACAGGTAGGTGCGCACCTGGCCTGTTTCTTCAGGCCAACTGTCAGCTCACTGAAGGCAGAACCGCCGGGACCTCCCTTCAGCACCTAGGGCAGCCTGCAAAGCATTCCTGCACAGGTTATGGTTTATTGAACTGTATTGTTATTTTAAACTTCAACCGAGAGATTGCTGCCATTCTGGTGTGGCATCCCACAGATTCCCAGATAAGCCGGGCAATAGTAGAAAAACTGTTTTTTATGCGAAAACCATCTCCGATGTCTGTTAAATGCTTGCAAATGCTTTGCAGGGAGCCGATTATACCTTTTCAGCAATCTACCAGGATGAGGCTTTATCCGTGTTTCCGTTGTAACCCATAAAATGGAGTTTATATTTTTAACCTCTTTTGGTTTATTTTAAGAGACGTTCATTATGTTCTTTTAGGCAGACTTTCCTTATGGAGAGTCCTTCTAAACCCCTGACACAAAAGGTCTTTTTTTCCTGCTGCACAGCCTGTCTTTATGGAAGTGAACAAAGCCCTCATGGGGAAGCAGGACAAAGGCAATGCCGCCCCTCACGCGCGCAGAACAGCTTCTTTCTAAAAGGTCACATTGCAAAGCAGAACTCACTAAAACTCAATTAATTACGAATAAAGAGTCGAGGGCAGGAGGGTGGAGGAACTGAACACTGCTTAAATTATAGAGCACACCGCAGAACGCAGTTTTATTATCGTTAAGTATGTGCTAAGATACAAATTGTTTAAATTATAAATGGGGAAATGTATTCCACAATAGATCGTGATGCCTGGCGTTCTAAGTTATATTACTCATATGAAAAAATTTTACTAAAGTAAAAATAATGGCACAGAACATATCGACATACGTACTTTCCTACATTTTCTAAATTGATTGGAACAATCATGTAGTTTTTCTAAAAAAAAATTTAGAGTCACGTCTACTGAACGTGAAATGTCATGCATATATAAACAGAGTTAGAGCTAAAATAATAAGGGCTTCGATCTGTTTGGTCACAGAGCAGGACCCAGTTTAGTAAAATATATTAACTGTGTATGGCAACCACTGGGGCTATTCCTATTGAAGGAGAAATGGGTGGTGATGAGTGACAAGTGGGCAAGCGAAGGTGCCTTTATTTATTTATTTTTGGACAAGCCTTGACAATCGGGCGCTAACCCATGACGTACTCAGGGCCTCATGGTGGCAGTTACAACAAAGAGGTGACTGGAGCGGGGGTCGTAGCCCCTCACCAGCCCCCAAGCTCCTTCCCAAACACCAGCATCTTTTGCAAAAGCAACAGGAATGGAAGCCACAAGGAAGCCTTTCCTTTGCCTGAAGAGAGACTGACAACCAAGGCCACCAGGCAGGAAGGGCCGAGCAGAACAGAACCTCCAGGACCTCTTATCCTTTGGCACCAACGGGCTTGGTTGTCCTCTACCCACAAGACTCCTCACTACACCCAGGGCTCAGGAGGGGGCGGGGAGCTTTTGCATCATTTGCCACAGCCCCAGAGTATGGACGGGGCAGGTCCAGGTCCAGCTGGTGTCCTCGGGGCAGAGCCTGGTCTGGCCCCCGCCTCCCATGTGTTTGCAACAGAGAGAGAGAGAGAGAGTCACCGAGCCCCTCCTTTGGTGTCCTGACCGGTGCATGGAAGCATGGAGGGCACTTCCTGAGCTGAGGTTGTGGGGTTCCCGGTGTCCCAGGCACCTCCCCTCCATCAGCCTCCTCCGTCCGGGCTGGGACCCAGCATGCAGAGCCCTCTTACCCGCATGCTGTGGCGCTTGAAGACATTGTGCCGGTGGAGAGGTGGGGTGTGCAGCGAGTTTACGGGAGATGGGTACTCCATAGGGCTGGTGAGCGTGGGTGAGCTGGCACACAGACCCTCGGGGACCTATTCAGGAGAAGCAGAGAAGCACGGGCACAAGGACAAGGCAAGAGGGGAGACAATTAGCGGCTACACACTCGGCACAAAGAAACGACGCGTGAGCACCATGGGAGAGGCGGGGCCTGCTCTCCGGGAGCTCATAAAAAGTGTGACATGGGCGATTCCTCGGCCCCGTTTGGAAGACACGGCGGAGCGACAGACACGGCTCTTTGCTGGGAGTCAGCACTGGCACGGGGACTCCCATTTATCTCACAGCCCTCCGTCAGGCTCTGCACGCGATGGGTCCACACGTGCTACTGACCGATGGAGCACATGTCTCCTCCTTCAGGGCTCTTGAGAGAAGAGCTATATTTCATAGTCACGTGACATACTGACACGGAATTAGCCCACCGGTGTGTATTTAATCACTACTTTAAACATCACTACAGGTAACTTTCTTTTTAGCGACATTGCTTCTATCTTTTGCATCGAGAATTTTCTTCAAATGAACAGGATTTCTGTTGGCTCTCGGTTGGGCTTGCTCTGGCACTAGGCAGTGACTGAGCTGAGGGATGTGAGAAAAGAGAGGAGCCCGGCTCCTGTGACCGAGATGCGAGAGAGACACACACAGGACAGAGACACTGAGACGGGGACCTGCAGCTTGGGAAGCTTCCGTGGTTCGTCATGACAGAAGTGGGAGGGAAGCCAGGAAGGAACCCTTCTCTCTCTTCAATGGCCACCTTGGTTCTGGCCAGGACCTCTACGGGGAGCCCCAGGGAGCAACTCTATTTTCGGGGGAACATCAACGGCCCCCAACTGCCTGAGACTCCTTCTCAGAAGGCTCTGCTCAGGGTAGGAGGGCAGGGAGGCTTCGGGCATGAAGAATAGCTGTAGGCAGGACATGCAGCAGCAGCAAACACTGTGGACAGGTGCCCTGGGCTTCAGGCACGGCTTGGCTGAGGACAGCCTGGTGGAATTGCATTTTGATTCCTTTGATCTCTGAGTGCTATTCCTTTCTGGTACCGAAGCTGGCCTCCTCCGTTACCTGAGCAGTTGGTTACTGCTCCTCAAAAGCACGTGCATAGACTTTCAGGAAGGACCAAGATGAGACATGGCCCCGAGCTTTCCCGGGCCTCTGGTCATGTTTACCTGGAATTGCAGGTTGGGTGCCAGCAGGTTGGTCTGTGGAGGGGGTCTGTACTTGGGCCGGCTGGGCTGGAGAGAGAACGCAGAGAGAAGTCAGTCCCCGTCTCTCCCTGGGGGAGCACCACTCACTAAGGGGAGCGTCGGTCAGAGACAGGTCGGGCTTGTTCGGAATGAAAAGGATGAGGGACAACGTTCTCACTTATGGAGCGCCCATTGCATGCTGAGTGGGCGGGTACAGAGAGGCCAGCCTCTCTGTCCTCCTGGGGGCACCGCTAACTGGAGGGGTTACTGGTCTCTGTGCGTGTAGCTTCTCTGGGTGAGGGAGCACCTCCTGAACAGCAGTGGAGGCCACAGACATCAGAGGTAGGAGGCCACGGGGGCTCAGGCACTCACAGCAGCTTCGTGGAGGAGATAGAAACTGAGCTGAGCCCTGACTCAGGAAAGGGGAAAGGCACACCAGGCAACGGGCTCTGCTATGGACGAACATTGGTGTCCCCACCAAATCCCTATGTTGCAGCCCTACTCTCCCCCTCCCACCTCCCACCCCCAGTGTGATAGTATTTGAAGACAGGGTCTTTGGGAAGAAAGGGCTAGAAGAGGTCATGAGGTAGGGCCCTGGGGTGGGATTCGTGTCCTTATACTACTAAGAAGAGACACCAGCGCTCTCGCTCTGTCTGCCCTGTGAGGACCCAGCGAGAAGTTGGCTGTCTGCAAGTCAGGAAGACTCCTCAACAGACACTGGATCTGCCGGCACCTGGATCTTGGACTTCCCAGCCTCCACACATGCCTGCTGTTTAAGCCACCTGGCCTACGGAGTTCTGTTATGGCTGCCCGAGCTGCCTAACACAGGCACCGTCCTTCACCCAATGGTGTGGCGGCGGGGCACTGGCTCCTGCGCCCGCAGATATCACGGAGGGTATGGACATGAAGGCTGCACCTATGGGGCCCAGGGACACCCCTCAGTCATGTGCCCTCACGGGGATCTCATTTGTCCCTAAAAAATGCTAGAAATAAAAGTGCTGAGCCTCTCAAGGGAAGTGTTTCCAGGTGACTCCCTGCCCCAGGTGCCCGCAGGCTTGGCTAACTTGCTGTCTCAGATCCCACCTGCCAGGGCACCGATGGGGCAGGGGCCGAGTTCAGTGCTGAGGGACGGTTGGGTTGAGGGGCTGGGAGAATTGCAGGGGCACCTCCTCTCTGTGCTGTGACAGAGGGGTGATATAGTCAGGCCAGGAGCGGCCAGATGAGGACCCAACTCTGCTGAGATTCAGGGGCCGGAGGAGACCGGGCCTTGGCTTACCTTGGGCGGGGGGTCCTGGAAGACTATGGGCTCCAAGATTTTGGGAGGTCGGTAGCGAGCGTTCCTCTCCTGCTCTATAGCAAGGTCCTTCTCCATCTGATAAACGTCACTGCCAAGGGGTCAGGTCAGATAGGAGAGAGAAACAAGGTCAAAGGTGCTCCTGGGGCTCCTGTCTGCACCCCACCAAAGCCTGGAGGGCCCGGAGGATGACACCGGGTCCCGTTTCCAACTCCTCTGCAGCGTGGGCTGGGGAGGCCCCTCTGAGACAGGCTGGAAGATGGGTCCTGAGCTTGCGTCCACACTGAGGCTGGGAGGATGGCAGGGACAGGTCCGCGGTGGGGAAAAGTCCTTGGAGAGACAGTCCCAGCCCAATGGGACAGTGGAAGTGTGTCTCCAGCCTACCTCCCCGGGCCTCTTGCCCTCCTGTGCCTGCTATGGGCACGGATCCCCTAGGCAGGTTTCTGATGTCCCAGCCAATGTCAGGACCAAGGCCTGGTTCTACATCTTCCTTTTTCCATGAAATGTTCCATCAGCACATTCCTGGTGAGTGCTGATGGGAAAGGGCTGTGGGTCACTCCCATCTTGGCTACATGCGTGCTTCCTGCCTTTCTCACCCCATCCAGTGGTTTCCAACCTGGGAATCACAGACCCCAGAGGATTCTGGGATCGTTGCAGGGTCCACATGCTCATGTGTGTACCTCACACACAGTCTGCAGACCGAGTATTATGTATGATTGAAGTAAATGTCTAGGCCCAAGACAGAGTCGCTCTGGGGTGCCACACCAGCAGACCACAACTCAGATCGCTTTTGTGTCCCTCTAAGCGCTCTGCGAGACCAGAAATGCAGCATAGCTAGTCAGCCAGTCCCCACACACTCAGACAGCTCTGGGCTCTATACTTCCTTCCTTGTTCCCTACTCATTTTCTGCTTTTCTCTTCCTCGCTCCTTATTCCTTATCCTGTTAAAGCTTCCTGTTTTCTGCCCCATTTCGCAATTCTCTGACCCTTGGGAATGGAGACTGCCTGCTTCATGGAGTATTAAGTAAACTGTAAATTTGTGCCACCTAAATTGTCTTCTTTAATCATTTTAACAGCACTACTGAATAGACAATAGTTGATATTGTGTTTTCAGATTTATATGTGTTACATTGTGTGTCATAAAAAATTAATCATACAGTTCGCTGCATTTTGTCAATCAACAGATTGTTTTAACAGTCTAAAAGTGTAACTGACATTGTATGGAGGAATTCTCAAAAGGGTCCTTCTTACTCCAGAAGATTGGGAAATGCTCATTAAATCCTTTCTTATCTCTAATGGCCGACTGCCAGCTGGGGCTTGTGGGAGGTATCCTGGGGTCACTGGGGTCTTCGGGTATCCTTCAGACCACACCAGAAAAGTCATCTCCTCGCTCCATCCATGATGGGGGGCTGACCCAGTGCCTGAGGGGTGTGCTTCAGGGCCCAGGAAGAGGCACCCCGTCACAGTTCCCCCTGGTTCGCAAGCCCCAGAATGAATGAAGAGCCCCCCACCAACTCAGCACCCCAGAATGCCTGCTTTCTCAAGTTACATCTTTCAAATACTTTTCTCCTGGAATCCTTTGGTTTCCCAAATCTCTCTTATAAGGGGACAAGAGATGAGTCTAGAATGAATGGGGAGAGTCAATAAAGGGACAGACAGGATCAGAATGGCCTTTTAAGCTGAGGTCTTGCCATTGGTTGCCGCCCCTGCCCCTACAGTCATCCCCAGTGCCCTGGCCTGGGCCTTCCCAGCGTCCCACCCAGGGTGCCTCCCAAAAGGCAGTTTCCAGGGGCTATTCTTGCCCTAAAAATAAGCCAGCATCTTAACTACAGGATCTGAAGTTGCACTATTCACATCAACTAAGAACTAGATTCCCTAAAGCAGGAGTCAGCAAACACCACCCACAGGCCAGTCTGGCCACCACCTATTTTCATACGGCCCCAAACTAAGAACAGTTTATAAGTGTTTTAATGATTGAAAAAAGAAAAAGAAAAAATGTTTCATGTCACCAGAAAATTATATGAAACACATTTCAGCATCCACACATAAAGTCTCATTGAAACCCAGCTACACGCATTCATCACATACTGCCCACGGCTGCTTTAAGCTGCAAGGGCAGAGCTGAGCAGTCCCAGCAGAGACTGCACGGCCTACAAAGCCCCAAATATTTACCATCTGGCCCCTTACAGGAAAAGTCTGCCTTGAAAGATACCAAAGTCAGATCACCCGAGGAGGAGAATGTCAGGCCGGCCACCAAGGAAACAGGGGACCTTCTAAAATGGACTCCAGTAGCACCCCTTACCAGGGACCCCCCAGCCCTGGGGAATGATGGCATCTGAGAAGGATCAGACCCTTGGACCACTGACGCTCCATTCAGAAGGGAGAGGTGACCCCTGGGTCACTGTCTTCACAGTCAAAACTGACTCTCCTGCCTGGCCAGTGTAGCTCAGTGGTTGAGCATCAACCCATGAACCAAGAGGTCCCTGGTTCAATTCCCAGTCAGAGCACAGGCCTGGGCTGCGGGCTCCATCCCCAGTAGGGGGCGTGCAGGAGGCAGCTGATGGATGTTTCTCATTGATGTTTCCATCTCTCTATCCCTCTCCCTTCCTCTCTCTCTAAAAAATCAATAAGAACATATTTTAAACACACACACACACACACACACACTCCCTGCAATCTGGGAGGAACAAAGGTTCTGAGCTTCTGCAGGGTGGATCAGCTAATTCCACTTGGACACGTGGCTCTGTGTAGGCCAGAGGGGCGGCCCCAGAGCCAGTCCCAGCCCCACCTGTCACTGCCCTGGGAGAGTCACCAGCTCTGAACCTGATCCTCTCATGCACAGGGTGGGAACAAGGACACCTCCTGTTCAGGGAAGTACATTATAAACCTCTAAGTGCTGCTGCAGGGAAGCCCGGCTCCCTCGGGGCCCCGTGCCCACGGCCCCCACCCCGGCTCCATGCTCACCTGAGGCTGCACACCAGCTCGTTGAAGCGGGGCCGCTCACTGGGGTCGTAGTCCCAGCAGCGGGTCATAAGGGTGTAGAGGACAGGTGGGCAGAGGTCGGGCTTGGGCAGCCGGTCGCCCTTCTCCAGCACCCCGATGACGTCCTTGTTCTCCAGCCAGAAGAAGGGCTGCTTGCCAAAGCTCAGGATCTCCCACATGCACACGGCTGTGAGCAGGAGGACAGGGGTCAGGGCCCATGCGGGGTGTGGGGGGGGCCTCACCCCTGGAGAGGTCGGTCCAGCCCCTCCAGGAACAACCAGAGGAATCTGCTCTGGGTCCCTGCAGGGAGGAGCTCCCGTGTTCCCTCGCCTTCCCCTTGAGCATCCCTGGAGTTTTGTTCACCGTGGTGGTCGCCGAGGGACCAGCCACCTGCATCTGTAAGTGAACTAAGGTCCCTTCTCTAGGTCCCCTCCACATGCAGCTATGGGGTTCTGTGGGGTAGGGTGGGGAAGTCCAAGGCAGGTTGGGGGACCACTGGTGCCTTCTCTCAGGAAGGAGGAAAGCCTCCACCACAAAGCTGGGTGTTGAAGCCCAAACTTGCTGCCTATGTGATCGAGGGGAAGGCCCAGGCCTGCCGGGCCGCAGCTTCCTTCTGCGGAAACTGGGAGGAAGAATAATGAGATCGTGGGGAACCAAGAGGGGTCACCTACGAGGCTGTGTGCTCTGCAAGGGGCTGTCCGTCACTGGCCTTTGTCCTCGCCTCTCCCTGCACCTCCTTCTCAGAACAAACTCAGAGTTTGCCTTTAAGGATCCCCCCATGGTGTCCCCACACGTGACCTGGGGCTGGTTGGTGGTGCAGGACACGCTTGGCTCAGGAACCTCCTCCAGGAAGATTAGCCAACACTCCCCGGCCGGCCCTCCGCCCATATCCCCCGACCCACCACTGGCCTCTCACTTCTCACACTTCCCAGGGGCCACAGCCAAACAGAACCCTGCAGCCCAGCAGTGGGGGCCCAGCCCCTGCTCTCTGCACCTCCTCTTGGCCTGGTCACGGAGGCGAGAATCCACATCCTCCCGAAACTCAACTCACCAAACATCCAGACGTCACTGGCCGTGGTGAAGCGGCGGAAGTTGATGGACTCGGGCGACATCCACTTGATGGGTAGACGAGTCACAGAGGCTGGGGGTGGGCGTGGAGGTTTCAGGAGATATTTAGGGAAGAAAGATCCAGAATTATCCAAAAATATTGCCTGTTCTCTGGAGACCCAAGGACCCACAGACCCTGGACCAAGCTGTGTTTTCTGGCGCTGGGGCTTCAGCGACCCCTCAGGGAAAAGCAGAGGCAGGCCGCCCTCACCTTTGTAGTAGTCCTCCTCCTCTATGTACCGCGACAGGCCGAAGTCCCCCAGCTTCACACACTCCGCGGAGGCCACCAGGATGTTCCGGACGGCGATGTCCCTGGAGGAAGGATATGAAGACAAGGTGGTTCAGAATGCCCCAGACAGACAGACAGACAGACAGACACAGATGAACAGAGAGACAAAGGACAGTGCTGGCCAGGGAGCACAGTCAGGCAGCTTGTGTCGTCAGCCCTTCCCTGACCCACCTTGTTGCAGCCCAGCCCAGGTGGGAGCTGGGGTGGCCCTCCAACCCCCATCACACACCAGGCCCTCTGCCACCTCCTTTCATCTCACCACTGAGCTTCAACCCCCATCATCCTTTCTCACGTGTCTCCAATGTGAAGCCTGTTTCAGGTTCCCAGAACTTGCTCCCTATGTTCTCCTGCCCTCGCGACTCTATTGTCCCCTCTGCCAGCGATGCTGTCACCTGCTGATTCTCCAAGAAGGAACCCCGACAACTTTCCTGGTCCCAGTTTGCTCTCCTCCTTCTGCAGGACTGTGTGGGCTTTCACTGTGGCTCAGAGCAGCAGCAGCTCGTGACTAACTTCCTCAGAGCTCGGGGAGAGCCAGGACAGCCCAGGGCCGCATGCACGGAGCCCGGTATAGAGACCCTCGGAGCCCCCGGCTCGGCACAGGGAGCGGGAGGAACTGCCCAGCAGGTAACCGGTAGGGAAGGAGTCAGCCTCACTCCAGAGCTGGGCTCTCACCTCCCTGCATCACTTCGAACCCCAGACTGGCCTGTCTGCTTGCTGCTCACAGGCAGGCTCTCTGCCTGTCATTGGCCTTTATCCCTGAAAAGGTGTCACACAAAGGAAACAAATCTGTCCTCCCTCCATCTTCCCCCCACAACTGTTTCTGTCTCACGTTTTACCCTCATGCCAGGAGGTAAGCTCCACAAGAAAGGGATTTTTGTCTGTTTGTTTGTTTTGTTGTAATATATTTTTATTGATTTCAGAGAGGAAGGGAGAAGGAGAGAGAGAAACATCAATGATGAAAGAGGATCATTGATTGGCTGCCTTCTGCATTCTCCACACTGGGATGGAGCTGGCAACCCAGGCATGTGTCCTGACTGGGAATTGAACCATGACCTCCTGGTTCATAGGTCAACACTCAACCACTGAGCCACGCCAGGCTGTCTTGATTATGATTTTATCCCAGGGCCTAGGACAGCGCCTGGAAGCACAGGGTGAGAATTCCATAATATTTGTTGAATGACTGGATGAGTGAATGAATGACTGAATGTTTATATCCCCCAGCACTGCTTTGCCTAATATCACTCCCAAGGCCACATTGCTGACCTCGGTGGTGCTGGATGGAAGAATTCACTCGTATACCTTGTGCTCTGAGAGCACCCCTTCTGTTTCCTCGAGGGGATCAGGAAAGGTGGTAGGGACCTCCTTTCAGGGAGTCAGGAGGAGGAGGAGGGGCCAGCTTCACAGACAGAGAGAGGACTGGACATGGCAGACTGGGGTTGCCAGGCAGCATCAGCCACTCTGGCTGGAAGGGCCCAGACCCCAGGATCTTCCGAGCGCTGCCCTAGCTCAGTCCCTCCTGGCAGGGCCCTGTGCCACCGAATGGGCCCAAGGGAGGAGAGTGAGCAGGAAGCGATTTCCCGGAACCCACAGGGAAGCAGGCTGAACGCACTGAGTCACAATCAGACACCTAGGGCTTCAGATTCACCCAGAAGAACATCCTGTGAGGTACACATGCCCGTTTCCACTCCTCAGGTGAGGAAACAGGGTCACAGCAGGTGCTCACATTGTCCCATTAGACGGGACAGGAGCTGGGGCTTCCACTCTGGTCTGTGTGACACCCAGACCTGCTTTACCCCAAACTCCAGGATCAGATCGAGGGGCCCGGCTTCCCCCAGCCGCACCTGTGGACACAGTTGATGCTCTCCAGGTAGGCCATGGCCTTGCAAATCTGCAGCGAGTACAGGACGAGAGTGAGCACCTTCAGGGAGTTCTTGTGTCGCTCCAGGTAGTGGCCCAGCTGTCGGAAGGAGGAAGGTGCCATCAAGACCTGGGCATGGCTTCAGCATGAGCCAGGGAGCCCCAGGGGTGTGGGGGAGGGGAGGGTGAACCCGGGCTGGCAAGAGGGTCCAGGAATCTCCTCTACAAATGGTACAAATGGTCCCTGGGTTGTTTCAGCTGAAGGCAGACACTGGGAATCAAGGTCCCCTCCTAAACGCACGCCGCCCTGCTCAGCTGTGGCCCAGCCGCCATCACAAGGTCCCCCCACAGCCACCTCCAGCTCACCTCCCCGTGGGGATACAATTCCATCACAATCCAGGTGGGCTCCTCTTCGATGATGCCTATCAGCTTCACAATGTGCGGGTGGTCCAGGTTCTTCATGATCACTGCAATGGGGGTGAGAGGGGAGGGTTGGAGGGATCTGAGGTCTGGGGTGAGAACCGTGCTTTCTGCCCCAGCTGGGAGAGACGGGGAGGGACAGCCGTCCTCCCGTGTGGGCCCCAGCACAGCTCACACCACCCCTCCCTGCATTCCAGGCCCCTCTCTCGTCTTGGAGGTCTGTGTCGCCTCGGGGTGTTCTCCAGCCCATGGGGGTTGTGTCCCTCCTCGGGGGACACCTACCTGCCTCACTCATGAACTTCTCCTTGTTGTCCTGCGTGCAGTCTTTCTTGCAGGTCTTCACGGCGACATTGATTTTCTCCCCTTTCTGCAGTGAGAGTGAGCTCAGGGCCCCTCGGTCCAGCCGAGTGCCCCAAGGTAAGTGTCCCTTCCCGGTGTCACCATCGTCTTCCCAGCCAAGGGATGGCAGGGGACGTCTGGCCTCTGTGTCTCTGCATAGCACATCCCCCCCCCCCGCCCCCTTTCTTCCTCTTCTCGCCCCTTCTCCTCTCTTCTCTGCCCATCCTCTCCTCCCCTCTCTTTCTTCTTGACCAGGATGTGTTGGGACTGGAAAGGACTTTCTAGATCAGGTAGCTCAAGCCCCTGGCTGTGCAGAGGGGGAAACTGAGGCTAAGGGGGCAGAGATCTGCCTGAGGTTGGAAGGCGTTTGTGGAGCACCTGTAAGGCCATCATCAGACACGGCGTCCGGGTCTCTTTCCCTCTTTATTGTTAGTTTTCACATTTTTCCTTCAGCTCTGCCTTTTCCCCAGGCCTAACACAACCACCCACCTTGTCCCACCCCATCCGTGGCCTCCCCACCGACTCCTGCCTCAGATCCGCCTTCCTTCTCTCAGAACTGCATGTTGTCATGCCTCCGGGTTTGTCTTCTCCCACCCAGAGCCAGTGGCCCGCTCCTGGTGCTGCCTCTATTTGGATCCCTGGCATCGCTCTCCTGCTTGGCAATGGCTCTTGTTTCCCTCACTCCCTGGGTATTTCATAAATACTGTAAATGCCAAGTGCATGAGGACCCACACATCGTGACCGCCACCTCCAGCCCCGGACGATTCGCCCTCCTCTTCCTCCTCCTACAGAATGTGGAAGGGGAGTGTCAGGGATGAGTCGGAACTCACGTGATTCGTGTAGGCACCTTCGTAGACCTCCCCAAAAAAGCCTTCCCCGAGGATACGGTTCAGAACCACATCTTCCCGGGCGATGCCATACTGTGAGCCTGCACGTGTGGAGGGAGAAAGCAGAGACCCAGGATTCAAAAACCACGGACACCCGGGAATCTGAGTGTCCACAGGCCGCAATGCCAGGCCCTGCTCAGGTGTAACCAGACCCCTGGTCACACCTCAGCCAAGAACCAGGGGCTGGGCTGGGCTGGGCTGGGGAAGGGGCTCTAGTACGTTCTATTGGTTCAGACCCGGGGAAGAGCCATCACTCTATCCGCTCTGAAAGCTGGTCCCATGTCCACACTCTTGGGCTCTCCACAGGCACATGAAGGGCAATAGTGTGGGGATAAAAGAATGATCTTGGCTTTTAAATCAAAGCTGCCTCGCTCAGGGTGTCCCTGTCTGAGTCACACATGGGAGAGGACAAAGAAAGAAAGGCGTCCCCCCATGGTGTCACATGTGTCCCCATAATGTCACTTCACAGGGCCCTGGCTGCGGCCAAGGTGGTGGGTCAAGGCCCTACCTCCTGTCCTTCGCAGAGTCTCGTCAGGAATCTCGGCGTAAATGTCTGATTCTGCAACGACAGGAGAAGAACATCCCCTGGGCAAGAGGCCCTCCGAGGGCACCGCCGGGGACCAGGTGTGTGGCTCCCACGTGGCCACAGGAGCCAACGGTGACGTCGGTGGGAGGGACAAGAGGAGAAGCCAGGCGAGAAACAGGTGCTGGTGGCAGGTTAGAATGGCCAGGAGCCCAGGGTACCTCGCTGGAGTCCCTGCTTGCTACTGCCCCGTTGCATTATTCAGAACAAGTTGGTTAGCCTCCCTTAATCTCAGTTTCCTTTTCTGTAAACCAAATCTTTCTGGGGAATGTCCTAAAGATCAAATGAAAGAAGATTGGCTATGTATTTAACACTGTTATGGATTGAATGTGTGTGACCATCGCTCCCCCAACCTCCTATGTTGAAGCCCTGAACCACCCAGTGTGATGGTAGTTGGAGGTGGCGCCTTTGGGTGATTCGGTTTCGATGAGGTCATGAGGGTGGAGCCCGATGATGGGAATAGCGCCCTGCTGAGAAGAGGAAGAGACCAGAGCTCTCCAGGTGAGGACACAGAGAGAAGGTGGCCGTCTGCAAACCAGGAAGAGAGTGCTCACAGGGCCTGACCCTGCCGGCACCGTGACCTTGGACTGAGCTGACCCAGACAGACATGGTGTCACATACTACCTATTCAAAACATGTCAGCTAGTGTGACTGATGATATTTAGGACATCACAGGGGAAGTTCATTTTACTGTAAGTTTGAGGGAATCCTTGACAATGTCACAAGAGCAGGCAGAAGAGAGGCTGTGGGTGCAGGAATGAGCACACAGGCAGGCTTACCTATGCTGCAGCTTTCGGAGAGGCGGGGCCGCTGCGCCTCCAGGCTTCTGTAGGAGGAGAGGAGAGGGCAGGAGCCAAGTGAGCTCAGAGCCTGGCAGTGGTCCCCTGGGCGGCCCACCCTCTCCCACCTTCCGCCTGGAGGGCCCGCTGCACTGTGCCCACTGCCTGCCTGGGGAACCAGCCTGTCCTGATGGCAATAACCCGGGAGCATGGCCCCAGCTGCCAGGGGGCAGGAGGGAAGGGGCAGCAGCAATAGCCCCTAGGATTAGATGCCAGGTGGCATTAGAACATAGAAATATCCCTGCAAGAATTTACTGGGAGAAATTTACCGGCCAAAAAAAAAAAATCGCCACTGTGAAATGCTGGGGTCCCAGCGTTCTCCGCTGGGGCCCAAACACCACAGGCTGTTCTGCCTTCTCCTGGGAAGACAGGCTGAGTGCAGGGCCTGTTCCCTGCCATCTGCTTGTACTCACAGCACGGGGATCTGGGGCAGGCTGGTCCGCTTCTCACCATCTGGGAAGAGGGAGGAAGAAAGGAGCTGGAGTCAGGGACACAGGGCCCTGGGTGACGGCTGACCTCACTGCTCCTGTGAGCCCACACGAGGGAGACCCCTCCCACCATTCTGTGCTCTCTGACAGTCTGAGTGGAAGATGGGTAGCCTTTGGCCTGAATTGGAATCCTCTTTGTTGAAATTATTAGGTTTCCTCCTACTACCATCCACAAGCTCCAGCCCAGACCCCTGCTTCCTGATCCCATTCCAAAGCAGAGATGCAAGAGGGACCAGCCAGGTTCTAGCAACAGCTTCCATCTTCCTGGGGCTACCAACGCCCTTCCTCCCGAAGCTGGGCTCCAGGCCGCCACTGTCCAGTGGGCCAGGGCCTGAAGCTTGGGACCCAGAATGGGACAACAGGCAACGTCCCACGGGGCAGGGTGAGCACTTCCACACACGATCCAAGCCACTTCAGGCACATATTGGTCAGTGGCTTAGCTTCCCTGCTGGGGGGGAGGGGGAAGAGGGGGAGGGAGTGGGTGGGGTTGGGGGAGACGCAGCCTGGCTCAGCCGTGCGGTCATCTGCCCACGGGGCCAGTTTGCCTCTAAGTGGAAACGCACCTTTCTTGGGATGAATGATGAGAGAGGCTTTGTGCTCCCCCTGCAGCCGGCAGTAACCGTCTATGAGGTCAGCCATGTTCTCGGCTTCTGCCAGAGAGGAGGTTTTGATGGACAAGGACTGCAGAGAAGAGAGCAGCTAAGCATGAGACCCCAGAGCCTTGGCTGGAGTCTACCTCACAGGGAAAGAGAAGAAACTGCATACTCCTGCCATCCATTCCCCACCGGAACCCATCCATGCCTCTCCTGGGGTCTGGCTTGCATTCCCTATAGCCACCAGGGGGCGCTCTTGTCATCCCTCCCAACTGATTGCCTTAAACTCTAGGAAGGCCAGTTCCAGGTCTGCCTTATTTTGGTCTCGCCTTGTACCTGGTCAGTACAAAATATGCAAGAGCATAAACAGAATGGGGAGCAGGGGCAGTGGGGCAGGGGATAGATGAATGAGAGGAGAGATAGAAATGTTTTTGGTCTGAGGTCTCTCTGATTCTCCCACCCACAAAACCCCTGGGTCCTTGAGGTCTTGATTCTGCATCATTGTTCACTTGTTCAAAGTTAGGCCACTGATTAGTACCTTGATTTCTGGTCACCTTTACCCCTCACCCTTCACCCCCCAAAATAAACTCAGCTTTATCTTGACACTTTTTTAAACAGCTTTGTTTCTTGAGATATCTTCCTTCTAAAGTGTCATCATACCGGTACATTGTCCAAGAACTAGGTGCAGTTTTCTTAACAAGATCTCAGGAGCCAGAGAATCCCCGGCTTTCTGACACCTGCACAGGAACACCCAACTCGCAGTTGTACCCCCTGTTTCAGAGCTTCCAGGTTCCCAGAGATGCTCACCTGGGGGGCGCCTTCGATGTCCAACTGCAATACTGCCTCGCCCTCCTCCAGCAGGAGGCACCTGATGGACTTGATCTGCTTGAACTCAGCTAGGCAGGTGGGCTGTGGGAAAGGATTAGGGGATTGCGGGGGGGGGGGGGGGCTTCAGACCATCTCACTCCTGGGATCAGGCCGTGGAAATTGGTCAGTATGGTGGGGGAGGGGAAGGGACACAAGGAAAAGTGGGAGCTGGGAGTATATCTCAGGAGGATGAAGAGAGAGTCAAAGACTATTGAGCCTGTAAGGATCATCTAGTCTAAGCCCCATGGTTTGCAGACGAGAACATGGGTCTGGAGAGAGCCAGGACTTGCCCGCGGTCAAGTGCCAAGTTGGTGGTAGAGCCAGGACTGGACCCAAGTCTTCTGACTCTCAAGGGAGTGATGGCCCCATCTTTCCATTGAAAGAACAACGCTTGTATCTGAGCCAGAAAAGCAGTAAGAGTTTCCTTCCCTCTCTCTGCATCCCCCAGCCATCCTGCTCTCCCAGCCTCTATGCAGGAGACAATCTCAGGGGGGAAAAGAACCGGCAGCCCCGTGCTGTTACGCCAAACACTCTCCCTGCAAGGACCTCTGCTCTCAGCAATGGGGCAGGAAGAATGGACGGGGCAGGCAGGCCGGGGCAGACGGGGCAGACAGGGCAGACAGCACAGCCTGGGGCTGGGTGGGGCGTGGCCCCAGTCTCTCTCTACCTTTGCATCTTGACTTGTCATCTGGCGGATGCCTTTAGGGCCGATGACCAGGTCCACAGTGATGTTCCATCCTTGCTGGAATAAGAGAGAGGGACTTGATGCTCAAACCCTGCCCTGCTCCTATTTGAGAAATTTGAAAAGGCCCACTAAACTGGGCTCAGACTACTATCTCCTGGGCCCTCCACTCCAAACCCCCGCCATACAGATTATCCTCCTCCCAAAACCCTGCCCACCTCCCAGAGCGGGAGCCAAGATTTCCCTTTCCTGGTGCAAGTCGATTAACGGTAGTTGCCTTTTAGGGCAGGTCAGTACAAGCAAAGCAAAGCCCCTTCCCAGCCCCCCTGGATGGCCTCCTGGCTCCCTTTCCCGAGAGGCCTGGAATTCAGGTGGAGGAGAGAATTACAATGAGTTCACAGCGATAGGTCTCCTGGTCGATGTGGGCAAAGCCGGCCAGGGTGTTGAAGAACTTCATGACGCACTCCTCCTCCCTGAGCGAGGCGTACTGCTGAAATGTCTGCTGGATCATCTTCCGGAACTGCTTGGGCTGGGGGAGATGGCAGGGGTGAGCCGGCTCCTCCAGGCTCTGATTCCTTCCCTAGGGATCTCACTGCTGAGAGCCTGCCTGCGGCGGTAGGACGGTCCCCAGGCCTCTGCCAGGAGAGCAGTGGCGATCTCTTACCTAGAGCACAGGCCTGTTGCCTCAAGGGAGGCTCACCATAGCGCTGGGAGGGAGGCAGGGGAGGCAGTGCCCAGTGACCAGGCCACACAGCTAACTGGCCTCTGATGTGGAATTAGAGCCAGGATTCCTGAGCCCCAGCCACGGAAAGAGCCCACTGGATGCATTTGTGGTCCTATGTCCAAATGGCCCAAGATGGCACAGACACCCTGGCTGTATCCCCAAGTATCCCAGCCCGATGCCTTTAGCTCTAGTCCTGGGGACCAGCACAAAAGGGGTCTTTCTGGGCTCCTTGCCCACTTACCTTTAAACTCTCCTGCATCTGCTTTGGGAAAAACAGGTCGAGCCCTACTTCCTTCCTAAAAGAAGAAGAAAAGCATCATTTGACACCCCTCTCCTTCAACCCAGGATTCTGGCCAATCAGGAGAAGTGAGAGGGCTCGAGGGCTGGGGAGATGGGTCCTGCCTGGCTCTGGTCTGGGGGTGAGTGAAGTAGGGGTGAGTACTAAAAGTAGGGCAGCAAGAAGGGAGGAGAGGCAGGGGCCAGTCTCAAGACTTACTCCAGGAGCTCGAAGTTGGACTTTTTGTCAAGTGCATTGTGCGGCATGTCCTTGAAGAACCGCCTGGAGAAAGAGAGAAGTCATGGAGAAGCTGATGGCTGGAGAACAAAGCCACCAGAGCCTGATTGCCCAGTCCCCTTCCCCTGCCACATGTGAGAGCCACTGGGAGGGAGAAGATTAGGAGAGTAAAAAAAAAAAAAATGATACTTAGAAAACCATGAAGAAAAGGAAAAAACCCACAAACCTCATTCCTAGAAAACACATTTATTCATTTTTAAATATATATTCTTTCCCATTAAGTGTATGTCTTGATGGAGATTTTAATGTATTATTGAGTTTAGCAATTGTTTAAGTAGAGACCAAATAGCCAATGTCCCCACTTGAGTCTCCTTCATTCTCTGCCTGGATCACCATGTCTAGTAATTTTCACTGCTGCAGACATTGTCACACTTTTAATCCCACATTAGAGTGACTCAGTGTTCCTTGAGCCAGCTGTCTTTGTACACATCTGAGAACAGTTCGTGCTGATACTATAAGCAGAGAGAGAGGCAAGTAACTTAACATTCAAAAGATATGAATTTAGACAATTCACTATGATTGGAAAATAGTAATTATATCCTCATCTCACACTTTATTTAAACATTTATTCTAGATGGATTAAAGGGATAGATGTGACAATAAAATCGTTTTTAAAACTACAAGAAAATCTAGGAAAATATTCCCAAATCATGGAATTGGGAAGAACATCTAAATCATGAAATCATAGAAGATATCCCCAATTAAAACACATGAGCTGGCTTGGCAGGAAGAGCCTATGGCCACCATATTGCTTATTAGCGACACTTCACAGGTGTGCTCTGAGGTTTTCTATGAATGCAGCAGGCAAGCAGGCAACACTAGTTTGGTACATTTTCTAAAGCTTCCAGTATAAAGAACAGTTTACCAGGCTGAACAAAGGCATGAGGAGAGTATGCCAGACAGAGGGGATGTATTATTCCCTAAGGGGGTGAGAGCTGCTTCCAAGTCCCAGACACAGTGGCCTCTCAGTGTCACTCCTGGCTTATAATAATTGTTGAATGAATGAATGAATGAATGAGCATTGATACTGGGGGTGGATAACAGAATTTTGAGGACTAGAATATTATTTAATAAGCCTTAGTAAAACAAAAGTTGGGGTTGGCTAAATGCAAGGGTAAACAAACTTTGAAATGAACACTGAGGAATTAAAACATATGAAAGTAATAGCAATTTTAGAATGATTAAGGAGGTGGCAAATGGAAAAATGTTTAATTAGGAAAAAGGTAACTCGGGTTTTTACCGAGGTCATCCCAATCTCTTAAAATCCAACTCACTCCCTATATCATTGCTTGCCCTTCTCTCTTGCCCTGAAGATCAGTTGTTGTGTTATTTTTGACAAAGGAACCCAATCACTCAAGTGTGCCATATTCTGTGTGTCTCTAACATTTGAAAACCACTGGGATGTTGGGGGGAACCAGTCACCACTGCTAATCAGATGTACTGCTTTTTCCAGAGATTGAGCTTCACAATATTCTGGGTTGAACCCCATCTCAGCTGCTGCCAGTGAGCACCCACTTATCACCAACCTGCCCAACTGCCCTCACTGAATGAGGATGCACCTGCTAGGAGGGTCCTCCAGTGCCTGGCTGGTTCTCCAACCCAGGTCTGCCATTTTAACTGGCTAACACACCAGGTGGACAGAGTGCCTATGGCCAGGCACAGGTCCGTAACCCAGCTAATGAGAGCAGCCAAGAGTAAGGCCAATTTCTTAGAGTGTCATTCAAAGTCTTCCACCATCAGCCCCAACTTACCTCCCACACTCATCTCCCATTATCCTCCAGTCTGTCCTTTTCCTTCCATTGGTCCCTGAGCCCGGAATGCACACTCCCCTGCTCAAAACTCCCCCTTATCTACTGATGGGAATCTCTCTCCTCCTTCCTGGAGCAGTTCAGATCCCCTCTTCCTGATGCCCTACGGCAGGATTCATGGCTCCTATAGGCACATCTGTTTGACACATATTTCATCCTGCCTTCTATTATGACCAATTGTAGACACACCTATCACCTCCAAAACACTGTAAATTTGAGGACCTCTTAGATAATTCACTAATTTCATACATATTTATTAGTACCTACATGAGGTGGGGACATAGTGGTGAACACAGATTAGAAAACCCAACATTTGAATATTTCCCAGAATCTCACCTAAGGCTCAAAGAAACATTACTGAGTCACTTGGATGAAAGAGAGATGGAAGAAGCAGGCACCCTGGAGGCAAAGGCAGTGGCAGCCAAAGGAAGGTGGGGACTCCAATCAGAGAGGACCAGCCGGGCAGGCAAGCAGGGCAGGCAAGCACCTCAGGGCCTGACCCTTTGTCGGCCACCACTACCCCCTCCCGGTTCTCACATATCCACTCTTACTTCCCACCCTGGAGGAAAGTCAGCTGGCCAGGAGCCCAGCACAGGACAGGAGGCATGGGCCCCCTCCGTGGAGAGGCCTAGAGGCCACATACCTGAGCTCCAGACAGCCCAGCTGCAGGGCCATGCCCTCGCTGACCTTGCTGGCGTAGCGTTGCATGTAGTCATTCCGGAGCTGGCGGGGAGAGAAGACGAGGCTGAGACTCCCACCCTCATTCCCTGTGTCCCTAAGCCAGTGATGGCAAACCTTTTGAGCTCGGCGTGTCAGCATTTTGAAAACCCAAACTTAACTCTGGTGCCGTGTCACATACAGAAATTTCTTGATATTTGCAACCATAATAAAACAAAGACTTATATTTTTTATATTTATTTTATATATTTAAATGCCATTTAACAAAGAAAAATCAACCAAAAAAATGAGTTCGCGTGTCACCTCTGACACGCGTGTCATAGGTTCGCCATCACTGCCCTAAGCAGAGGCCCCAGGATGCCTTGAACACAATCCTGCCTGTCTCTCTCACATGCCCGCCAGGCACAAACGCATAGCAGGAGATTAAGAGCAGAAGGGGGACGCTCACCCTCCGCTCTGCCCCTGCCTCCCTCCAGAACCCTGGGCAGTGCTGACCAAGCCTCCACAGGCTGAGGTCTTCGGGGTTTTTGAAGTGTTTTAGACATGTTCCCATTGGCTCCGCGAGGCAGGAAGTTCCAATTCCCCTCCCCCACTCCTCATTTTGGAGATATGAAAACTGGGATTTGGGGGAGGAGTCAGTAATTTTTCCAAAGCCTTGTTGGTAAGTAGTGACAGGTGTCATCCACGGTACAAGAAAAGTCTGGCGTGGTCTCCAGCAAACCAGGAGAGAGATATAGGAGGGAGCTAAGATCAGGCAGAATATAATGATGGCAACTGACGTTTACTTGGCATTCACTCTGTGTTAGGTCTTGTGTTAGGAACTTTACATGCACCATAGTTGGTGTGTTGGAGCAGCTCCAAACAGCTATTGAAAGCCAGTTATTAAATGTTTTGAAATTTTGCAAGCTGATATCACATCGGTAGCTTGAAACAGGTCTATTTACACCATGGAAATTGGCAAGTCCTATGTTTTGTTTTGTTTTTCTTCAGAGAACTGGTTTACCAGCACATTGTTAATAATATCATTTGGTCCTCAATAATATAACCCTATAAAGTCGGTATTACTATCATCATCATCATCATCCCCATTTTATAGAAGAGAAAACAGCTTTATGCAGGTGAAGTCCTCAGGGGGTACCAGCTTAGAAAATGGCAGAGCTGGATGAGGAACCAGGTGTGTCAGATGGCAGACCTGCTCTGCCTGCTTCACCAGCCAGGTCTCCTGGGCAGTAATTAGCCATTAGGAAAGCCCCAGAGGAGCCGTGAGTGTCTGGGGTGGGGTTAGCTGGCACCTAATTAGCTGTGAGAGACGCCGAGTTAGACAGCTGACCAGGGGCCAAGGAATGCCCCCAAGAGAAATTTCCTGGACTGGGACCTCCAAGGCTGTGTCCTCCCATCTCTTAGGAGAGCCTGGCTAATACTTGGCATTTAAGGTGTAATAGGACCCTGGGCACAGGAGTTATTTTTTACCTGTTGGTAAAAATAAAGCAGCGTGGTCTTGTCTTCCTTCAGGCTCTCCATGAAGTCCTCTGGCAAGTAGCGGATTTGAAGGTCATACCTGGGACAGGACATTAAGACTCCCTTGTATTTAAAGGAGGAGTAGGGCTGGCCAAAGCAGATGCAACTTCACCCACCACATGTGGTTCCTGGCCACCCATGTAGGACTTTTCGTTGGGTGGAGGACCATAGAGGACAGATGGGTGGCCAATAGGTGCTGACTCCCCACACTTCATCTTTATGGCCACCAATTTCCTTGGACCAGCCATTGGCCTGGCTCATCCTTCTCACTCTCTTCCTCCTTCTCCACAGCACCAATGGCATCCTGCCTGGGGGTGTTTCTAGGTACCTGCCTTGAATGAGGATGTGTTGTGACCCCATGCTAAGCTTTGGCAAGGACATGCATTGGACGCTGCAGGGGGACTAAGCCTAAAACGTCACTCAGATGCTCTAGAAGACTCTCGGAGGTTGGGAAATGCTCCAAGGAAGCACCTCCAGGGCCTCCCCACTCCACACTCATCTCCCCCCATTCGAGAGCCTAGGGCTCCTCTCCTACCTCCACTCGGCTTCCACGTGTAGATACTCATACTTGTCCTGCACCTCACCCACTGTCATCTGCGGGTGCAGCCAGTGGATCTCGTCTGACTTCATGTGCTTCAGCCTCAGCCCATAGCACTCAGCCAGCTGGATGTTGGGCCCGATCCGCCCGCTCAGCAGGATGGAGGCAATGACCTCCTGCGGAGGAGAAGACAGGGGCATGACTCAGAGGTGCCTCCTTCCAGGCTCCCACAGTCCTCATGCAGCCCTGGAGGCATGATTCTCTAAGGGTGAGGTTCCGGCTTAATGTTTTATCCACCTGTGATTCTCTAGCACTTAGCGTAAGGCCTGGTCCACAGTGAGCTCTAGGTGATGAATGAACAAACTGGCAAAATGAGGCAGAGACGGAGGAACTGAGAGGAGAGAGCAGAAGCGAAGGAGAAAATGCAGCGAGGCAAAGAGCACGAATTCTGTGCTTCTGCATTTCATTCCAACCAAACAATAATTACCAAGCAACCACCATGTAAAAAGCACGCTTTGAGTGGTTTCCAATCTAGTCAGCATTGCTCGGGGTCTGCAGTAGGCACTTCTAGGCACTTTGCATACATTGCTTCATTAAATCCATACAATACAGGAAAGTGGGTGTTACATCCCCCATGTGGCTGATGAGGAAACTGATGAGGCCACACAGCCCATGGAATTAAGCTGGGATTTTTAACCCTGGTCCACTGGACTCTGAGGATTTCAACTAGACCAAGCTGCTCTGTGGGATGGTGGGGCTGGACAAGAGAGAAGGACAGGACTCAAGGGATTACGTGGCACAGTCCCCACACAAGAAGCATGGCCACAGGAAATGGAGTGTTGATAAGAAACAAGGTGCCCTCCTTATTCCTACTTTCTTGACCAGAAGTCAGGCTGCCCGACCTCCTGATGCCATAGCTTCCTGGCCTAGAGCCAGAGCTGGATTAAGAGGACAATTAGGCGGCTGCCTGGAAGCCCATCTACAAGGCCGTGCCTAGTTCTGAATCACATGGGCTCCAGTTTAACTCAAGTTCCTCATGTGGTTCCATACATAACTGGAGAACCCAGCCTACTCCTGGTGGAGCAGAGAGGACCCCCAAAGGCAACATTTAAAACTCTCGGGCAATGATTTATCTCTGTTGAATATCTTTGCAATGTGTATGCCACCAAGCCTACATACAACCATTTATAACACAGAGAAAATAATAGCACCTATTTTGAATGGTTTTTTAAGGGTTAAATTAGATAAAAGTCCTTAGGACAGAATCTGACATGAGGTAAATACTAAGAAAAATGCTAGCACTATTTCTATATAGCAATCCAGTATAGAATCTGATGCTTTTGTAAAAACAAAGAAAGATTGGGAAAACAAAAGAAAACTCTGGTTTCTTCTCCTTCATCTTTTTTATCTCTTTTTCTTTTTCCCTCTCTTGGAGGTGGTGGGATGGCCACAGGTCAAAGCAGTGAGACTGAGGGGTTGGTAGTGGCTGCAAAGTCAGAATCAGAGCAAAGGAGGAGGTGGGGCTGGGTGGAGATGGCTGGAATGGTTAGGTGATTGTTTACATACAGGAGGATTGAGCAAAGGAGTAAATATATTGAGGATAATGGGAGATGGGTTTCTTTCTGTTGGAGAAAGTACTTGAAATATGGAGAGGGAAAGGTGAGAGAGAACCATTGGGGAAAGAGAGAGAGAGAAAGAGAGAGAGAGAGAGAGAGAGAGAGAGAGAGAGAGAGAGAATATGAGTGCTTTACTTTTGAAAGAACCTAGGATCAATGATGTCCTGATTGCCATTTGCATACCAAACACTGCGTCTTAGTTTCCAAATATCCTTCTCCACTAAAAAGATCCAGGGCTCCTGGAAGAAATGGCTGATTCCAGGGCTAGGGCAAATAAAGCACCTGATGATCCTGGAATATCTTTTTGGGCTAGAAAAAAAAAGGAAGAGTTTAGAGGATGTTGGGGCTGTATAACAAGGAAACAGAATCTAAAGCTTAAAGGGGCTGGCACTGGCCAAATCTGGGACAACCTAAGCTTTAAAATATTCAAGATAGGAAGGAATAGATTACACCCCACTGAATAAAATGGAATCTGAGATAGATAGATAGATAGATAGATAGATAGATAGATAGATAGATAAACAAATAAATAAATGAAAAGGAAATGTTTTCCTTACAGTAGAATGCCAACTAGTAAATGTAGAAGGATGGAAATAGAAAATCGCCACTTGGCAATAAATAGTGTTGGTTGGTTTGGGCATGATTCATCAATGGATGATACAGTTGGAGGGTTGAGGTCTGATGATAAATAGGATAGTGACATGATCTTAGCATATCTTCCTTCAGACACTAATCATATACCAAGGAAAACCTGGCTGACACAAAAGCTCATCAACGCTAACATCATCATCAGTAGACAGATAAACAGAACGTCTCTCCCCTTGATCCAAGAACACTTAACTATTTCTGAGATATTTCTGCCAAAAGTTCATGTCTGAGCCTAGTCATGACACCCAGGGTGAGGGGGTCTTCTCAGAGATAAATAGAAAAAAAGGGCTGTACTCTTTCAGATTTGGGGACTCTTTCAGATTGGAGAAGACCAAAGAGATTGGACAACTAAATGCATTGTATATTCCTGGACCCGAGGGTCTAGCTGGAACCCTTAAGTTTGTATCAAATTTGTCAGAAGTGTGGGTGGCCTGGGAACCCTGGGATCTGAGACTGGGGACTGTGCCCTCAACCTGTGAAGTCGGTGCTAGCTCCAGAATTGCACTGTGAAGTGCACCAATCCTTCAGGCGCACCTGGACAGCAACCAGGTTAACCATCACAGGTGACAGAAATAGAACTCACTTACGAGTCACACAAATCCTGTCTAACCCCAGTTCTGACACTTTCTTCTAACAGGATGACAAACTCCCTGAGCCACAGCCCCCTTCCTGCTGTCTCTACCCTTGTCTTGTGACGTTGCAGAATGATTCCTTCATGCAAACCATCAGCGACGATCTATGACATACTCACTCTGCAAAGCATTGTTAAAGCATTGTTAGGAGCCCAGTGCCCACACAGAGCCCTCCCCTCAGGAGCTTCTGTTTAGTGGTGAGGCAGGAGAAAGTAGCATCCCAGAGTGAGGTAGGGAATCAGTTTTTTAAAAAAATATTGTAATTGATTTTAGTGAGAGAGGAAGGGAGAGGGTGAGAGGGAGAAACATCGATGTGAGAAACAGAAATTGGTTGCCTACCCTAAGCACCCTGACTGAAGATCGAACCCACAACCCAGGCATGTGTCCGACCTGGAATGGAACCATCAACCCTTCAGTGCATGGGACAACGCTCAACAAATTAAGCCACACTGGCCAGGGTGGGAATCAGTTTAAATGAAGAAAATTTTGAGGTCTGACATGATCTCACTGTGGAGGCTTTTGGATCAGCTCTTCTTCCCTCACCCTTTACTGCCGATTCCCAAATATTCACACAGCTCCTCAAGCAAATGGTGGGAGCACCAAAATCAGCCCTCTACCCACAGCTCAGATTGCCATTAATGAGTTAATATTTCTTTCTCTACTAGGGGCCTGGTGCACAAAAATTCCAGCCTGTGCACTGGAGTGGAGGGGGGTCCCCTCAGCCTCTCGCAGTCTGGGAGCCCTCAGGGGATGTCCAACTGACTGCTTAGGCCCGCTCGCCCCACCCCCACCGCTGCTGTCGGCCTCCTCTGTGGGAGGCAACCAGGCAGGCTGATCAGGGGATGGCACCAGCACTGGCCAGCAGCCGGCCCTGCTCCACCATCACCCCTCTGCTGCCACCGCCCCCGTTGCCATCCCCTCCCTCTGCCCACTGGCACGTGCCTTGGCTGGCCTGGTGCCACCTGCTTGCCAGCCCTGCCCCCGGCCAACCCGTAGTTCTGCCATTCAGTCAATTTGCATATTATGCTTTTATTACATAGGATTAATAAATCACTTTAAAAAACAACAGTATAAGATGTCTACCTACTTACTAAATTGCCATATGTAACATGATAGGAAAAAATAAAAAGCTATCTTACTTTTATCAGTTGCCATTTAGATAAGACCAGGATTCTTTTTTGCTACAGGAAAACCTTTACTTCTGCTCATAAGAGAGCTACTGAAAAGCAGGCCCTCAGTTTGCCTGTGGCTCACAGCGACTGGTGCTTTATTGCAAACAGTGGGATTTCTATGGCTTTCCTTCCTGCTTGGTTAACATTGATTTATTGTCTTTATCAAGTAGTGTGAAGACCCCAAACTGCCTTTGCCTCTCTCCCTCTTCTCTGGCATTTCCTCTTCTAGGTCAGAAACAAAGAAGGTTTGTATGCTTATCCCCATACCCATGGTAATTTCTCCCCTACTCCCCAAAAAAGGTCACCCAAGCAATTAATTACTCAATCCACTTTCTCTTCCTTTATTGGCACTCAGCCACATTTTCCCCCATTGGAAATTAATTTTTGTATACAGCATGAGGAATGGTTTAAAATTAATTTGTTTTTACAAGGATGTGTAACATTAAGTGACTATATGTGTGGGAATGTTTCTCACCTCTTTTTCTGTTCCTTTGACCTAATAGTCTATCCTTATACCTCAGCCACATTTTATAACTTCTTTAGTAATTGCTATAGTCTCATGATTTTCTTAGGCCCTTTTATTTAAACAAAATACCACCCAGGCTATGTGGCTCAGTGGTTGAGTGTCAACCCATGAACCAAGAGGTCATGGTTCGATTCCCAGTCAAGGCACATGGTCGGGTTGTGGGCTCAATCCCCAGTGTGGGGTGTGCAGAAGATAGCTGATTGATGATGTTTCTCTCTCATCGATGTTTCTATCTCTCTATCCTCTCCCTTCCTCTCTCTCTCTCTAAAAATCAATAAAATAAAATACCTAACTTTTTTTTATTCTTGAGCTTATAACATATTTCATGTTAGTGGCTGAGTTTTTAGGAATATCATAACTGAGACCCCCTGCCTCCCACCTTCCATTAGAATTGGCCTCACCTTTACTAATGTCACACCTCTTACTGGGGGCAGCCTGCATCCAGTGCCTGGTCACCAATTCAGGGGTGTAAAGGCCCTGTTCATTCATCCTAATTTAGGACAGCTCTGCTGGACCATCCCAGCTTCAGAGCATCACAGCCCAACTTCTCCCTCTGCCCATCCTGCGTCCCTCACTCCCCCA